CTTAGCAAGAAACTTCACAATAGAGACTATTCTTACCAGGACCTTCCTCCAACGCTCCTTTTCCTTTGCAATTTCCCGTTGCATCTCATCATCAATTGTTTTATTTTTGCTTAATCTAAGCCGAAGCTCGTTCCGTGTACTCATGCATGTCAAATGCTCCTCACTGTTCTCATGAGATTTCAGTTTCTCACTGAGATGCTTCCAATCCTTGACTCCATCGGATGCTAAATGAGACTTGCAGCAAAAACAATAAACCTTGTCCACATGTTTAGAATAAACCAACCACTTTCTGTCAACAATCTCACCATTAGATAAATTTATCTGATTTGATTTAAATAACTTGCAGCAAAAACAATAAACCTTGTCCACATGTTTAGAATAAACCAACCACTTTCTGTCAACAATCTCACCATTAGATAAATTTCTGGAATAATAAGCATAAGAAAAATGTCTGGCAGTCGGATCTTTTGGGAATTGTAGATTCAGTTCTCGCGCAGGCCCTTTCTCAATTAAGATGTCTCTTTTTCTATTGTCAAGACATTCCCATGTTCTAGGATAAAAAATAGTCGACATCTCATCTTCTTGTTGATGCCCCTGATCTTCAACATCATCTCCCGGAGCCTGAGTATAATCTCCCGGAGCATGAGTATCATCATTGGCATTAGCTTCAACATCTAAATTCTGCTCGTCATTGGCATCGACGTCTGCAACATGTTGATGCCCCTGATCTTGACCGACTTCAGCATTACTTGAAACTGAAAAAAACCTATGTAGAGCCTCTGCGACTCTGCGGCCTGATCAAGTTGCTTTCTTTTTTTTTTTTCTTTTCTGAGCACCCGACAAATGCTTGGTAGGTAACATCTATGATATGATATTCAAATTAAAACATTGAATTAGAATTTCATAATCCGTGAAATTAATTTGGAAAAAATCTCTATAGCCTAGAGAGAGCAAACTGCTTACCGTGGCGTGTAGAAATCCTTGATATGCCTTGGCGTGACTCACGCGGCGACGCCGTTAGGTTTCGGGGCGTGAAATTAATTTGGGAAAAATCTCTATAGCCTAGAGAGAGCAAACTTCTTTTTTTTTTTTACCAAAATACCCTCAAAATATTCACTCTACACTATACCAAATACTATACAAGATTATATATATATACACTACATACTTATATAATCTTGGGCCCCTGCCTTGGCTCCCCCTAGAGCCTGTACTGTTTGAGATCAAGTGTTTGATTATTGTTAATGTTCTGACTTGTTTTTCTCTTGGTTTGATATTGTAATTTCAATGTGGATTGTGGAATTGTACAAAAGTTTTTCTTAATAAAGGGTCTTAAAGAACCTTGAGGACATTAAGATTATGTTTGCCAAATATTGCGACGATGTCTGTTCTAATTCGGTAACTTCCACCGGGACAGGGCACTCCCTTTTGTAAATAGTAATAATAATATATTGCCCGTATAAAGCACACGCAAATCACATCATAATCTCATCAACCAAACCGCCTAAAAATCTTGTAATTATCTCTAATTCTAATTCACATTTTTATGGTACAGTATTTATGCTTTTGATGAATCTTCCTTTTCTTCCGCAATTTGCATCGTAAATCCGATTCGACATCTTTCTGGCGAAGAAAAACGTTGGTCCGCTGAACCTCGGTCTAGAATTCGGTGCTCCGTTCAATGGCGATATTGGAGTCGCCGGAGAGTCTGGACACGGCGTCGTCCAGCGCCGACAATGGCCACGGTCGCGACCACGCCACCACTTTGCGCCGCAGACCGAGCGCGCGGTCTGTTGAGCCACTTCTCGAGTCGGATTCCAGTTCCCTCGAGGGCGAGACCGCTATAAATGGCGGAGAAAGATACCAAAGTGACGCTAATTCAGCCGGGAAGCTCTGTGGAGGGGCCGTTGAGTCGAACGAAGAGAGGGAAGCGGCAACGGGAAGTGAAGGATTGACTTGTGACAAGGGCGAGGCGGAGAAAGTGAAGGAAGGTGATGGCAAAGGAGTGGACGCTTTGGCCGTCAAATTCGCGTACAGGCCCTCGGCGCCTGCTCACCGCCGGATCAAGGAAAGTCCTCTAAGTTCCGACGCCATCTTTAAGCAGGTATCTGATTGAATCGTATAGGATTGTTTTCTGCCATTGTTATTTTCATAGAATCTCTTGGTGATGAAATTCTGGGGAACTCGTTATGTTGTGTGGATTTTATCCTTGGGGTAGGAATTGAAATGGATGTTTTTCCCCTATCAAACCATTGAAACATAGAAAACTTGCTGTTGGTTGGAAGTTTTCAATATTGTGGCTGCAAAACTTTTTTATTTTATTAATTCTACTTGTTTGAATAAAAGGGATGTCAGTTACTGACATTGTTGGAAGTCTCTCTCTTTTTTCGGATACATATGACAACATTTTAGGGGTTTGGGGGTGGAGATGAGTTGAGAGTGGAGGGTTTAAATATTCTTTGCAGCACTTTCCATTATCATTGTAATTTGGAAACTTTCTTTCCGAGATCCAATTTTCTATTGAAACTTTTGTTATACCATTAATAACACGAAAGCAAGTGTTTGACATCACGGGTATGTATAGGGAATCTGTGAGTGACATTGCCTTCTCTTTTTCTAGATTAAAATGCTATATGTACATTGTTATGAAACTGATTGGCCCGACCTTTGCTGGTAATGTACTTGAATGTTGTTTTGTGTTGGTAGTGGTTTTTCATTCTTTGAGTATGTTTCTCTAACTGATAAATACGATTTAGGGAAAGACATCAGATTATATAAAATTGTAGTCTACCCAGAATTATGTTGGTATGATGTTGATTTTAGATGCTGAACTTGATCCTGAGATAGATGTTATTTCTCAGGATTGGTTTGTAATTTGTTGGGACAATATATTGATATCACAATTGAACTTTGTCTTCTGGCAGAGCCATGCAGGTCTCTTCAATCTCTGTATAGTGGTGCTTGTTGCTGTAAATGGCCGGCTTATCATTGAAAACTTGATGAAGGTGTGCCTGCTATCCTAATTATTTTCTTACAACTTTTGGGAAAAAGATATGACTATTCTTAGTGCTGTCAGCTGGAGTATCTCATATATAAGCTAGTGCTGCAAAATTCCAAAGTACCTTTATTTGCATGTTTAGCAATCTTAAGATGCAGATGTATTCAGTGTGTTTATTGTTGGCAGTTGAGTTTAAGCATCAAAGTGCTTCCATGTTTAGATGTAATATATATGGCACTGCCACAGAGTATCTAATCTTATACTTGGCCTGCAGTATGGCTGGCTGATCAAAGCAGGCTTTTGGTTTAGTCCGAAATCACTGAGGGATTGGCCACTTTTCATGTGTTGGTAAATGCATCTTGGACTACTTGTTGTCATCTTTGTTTTTTTGGGAGAGCATTAACTTTCAGTAAAGTAAATTCTTAACAATGTAACTATTACCATTATTTTTCCTTGCAGTGTTAGTCTTCCAGTATTCCCACTTGCTGCATTTCTTGTTGAGAAGTTGGTGAAACAAAAGTACATACATGAATGGGTATGTAAAAGTCACCTTTGGTTTTCAGTTTCAATGCAGAAGGACTGAATGTTTGTTTATCCAAGAATACTTCTTGATGGTGGATATGTTGAAAATCTGCCACGATGATGTTAAGTGAGTATCTACCCAACCATGGTGTATAAATTTTGTTGAAGATATTGGTAAAATAACATTGACAAAGAGTTGGACTGGAGTAGCAAAATGGAGAGAAATAATTATTTTGTGTTCCTATTAAGTTAGGCAAAAGTTGTCATGATTTTGGAATATCTCTTTTCACTTATCATTGAATGGAGTTCTCTAACTTATATAGTATATTATATATTCAGTGAAACTTAGCTTGCTGTTGGAGTTGTCATTTAAATTATGAACCCTGATATTAGTTCAATATTTATGACCTAAAGAATATGCGTATCATGGAATCATAATGTGGTGTGGTTTTCAAGATTTTGAGTAATAAGTGATTTGATTCACATAATCTGAACTTTAGGCTTTATCAAGTTTTAGGATAATGAACTGTATATTTATTGAGATTTAGCTACCACTCTATTTGAGTACCTATTAATCTATTTTATTAGGATTTCCTGTGAAGTATTCGTCTAATCCCTTATGTGCATAAGCTTCTTGTTTGGTTCTCCGTCTCATTTATGATACAAGTGCAGCTAGTGAACTTGGTGCTTGAATAATGAATAAAATTTCATACACGAGAATTCAAGTTTACTCAATTTGCAGGTTGCTGTCTTTCTTCATGTTGTAATAACAACAACCGAAATCTTGTATCCCGTTGTTGTCATTCTTAGGTATGTCTTGACTATTTTAAGATAGTTTCTTGCTCAATCTGATTTTGTTTGTCATGTTCTCCACGGTTTCATGTTTATGAAGATTTTATTTAAATGAGGATGCAATTGGATTTGGACTGACAAATTCTATTTTAGTCCTGAGAATTGAATGGAGATACCAGTATCTATCTTAATGTTATGTTTTCCTAACTAGTATGTTGATTTGGTTGTTTCTCAACCATACAGTGTCCGGTCTGTTGAGTTAAATAAAAGTCCATATTCATTATTATTTAGACGAAAATTCAGCTAGATAAGGTGAATGCGATGTGAGATGTCATGGAAGATTACAATTTTGAGAGACACTTGTGAAATGACGGTTTCTTGAATGGTGATTGCTATAATGTGGGTAAAGAATGCTTTGAAGTTGGATTTAGAAATACCTTTGTTGCTCATTTGATTTTTTTAATTATGGTTACTGTGTTCTTGGAGACTGCCTTGGTTCTCACACCTGCATTTAGTCAGTTTATTGTTAGTACCATAGTGTGTATGATGAAATGAATCAGTGCATTGTGCGTACTATGAAATAAGAATATCTTGTACAACTGATAATATGCGAAAGAAAAGGTGGAATTGTATTTCTTAAACTGCGTATTTGAACTAAGAAAAGGAAGTTGAGTTGTCTTACTCTCATGGAGAAAAAAATATCCTCGAATGTGTTAGAAAATGGTGCACACTCGTGAGAATTATGGGTTTTGATTTAAAATACTGATGTTCAGTTTCTTTCTTGCAGTGAAATGAAGTTTGGGTGGTCATAATATGTATGCTTTACTCCGTTTTGGACTTTACGGTTTTATGCATAAGATGGGAATTTGATGCTAACTGTGAACTGATTAGGATTTAAAGTAACATTAAGCCTGCCAACACTGGAATTATCAGGGGTAGAACAAACTCACAGTTTTATTTTTTTTAGTTCCTGACTTGTTTAAATGCCGAAGGATATTAATAGTATGTTGTTACATGAAGAACAAACTTGCATTTGTTGACGGCATCTTCCATAAGTTGATTGCACAACAGAATACGCATGAAGCTATGTTATTGTTCAAAAGTCATTGCTGGAGGACATTACCTTAGTAATTATGTTGTTGGGAAAAAGTAACTATGTTAGGCACTGTTGCATCTTGACGCTGTTTTTCCGATTCAAAATTGCACAGGTGTGATTCTGCCGTTCTGTCAGGAGTGACCCTAATGCTCTTTGCTTGCATTGTGTGGTTGAAGTTGGTTTCCTATGCTCATACAAATTATGATTTGAGGGTGCTTGCAAAGTCACTTGATAAGGTAATGAGGAGTTTTTATCTCATGTGGATTGTTTGGATTGGGAGTGGGTTAGGCCATTTCGTCATCGAGCCAACCCTAGGGCTTTTAAGATTTTTCTCTATCAGAATCATAATTTCTCTAATAAACTTGTTTTTTCCCCCTGATTTTCAGTTGTCCTTCGTGGGATTTCGTCCTTTGTTGATATTAAATGAAAATTTGAACTGGCTATCTTATGTTGGGGATCTGTGTGCACTTTATTTGGAAAATATAGTCCCTTTTCTGTATACTGAAGCAGCGTTTAAGTTGTTTCTTGGTTTGCTGTGTACTATTTATGTTTAACCATATCTATTCATAGTTTTATTGATCAAAGGTTGTCAAGCTCGTGCAGTTTCTAATAACAAGCTTCCTCTTTGATGTCAGTGGGAAGCATTATCTAGTTATTGGAACATGGACTACTCATATGATATTAGCTTCAAGAGTTTGGTGTATTTCATAGTTGCTCCTACACTGTGCTACCAGGTACATATACTATCATTTGAAAATTCTTGAATAAATATATTGTGTGTCTAAAGCTTCCACAGTATCATAGACAGATGCTTGAAGATACATGTGTGTTTATGTTGCATAAATGGGAAACAGAATGATGCATGAAGTGTTAGATTTGAGCAAGATATATACATTGGCGATATTGTCATCTATCTATTTGTAAACCGCACTTGTGAAGAAGATAGTTTCGCGGGTTGCTGTTATTGACATTTCTGATACTTGATGTTTGTGGGGTTAGGAAATATATTGTTAGTAATCTCTATTCAGATAATATGGTCAAGAATGAAAGCATTTGTTTTGTACTTTTCATCACAGACAATTACAAAATCTGATATTTTATAATGTAACATGGTAAATGTGCTACTTCCAACTGTACGAGTGTAAACCAGCTGTTGTCATTGCCAAGTTCTTGCCCTTCCCAGCACCTCCTTTTTTTATATATATGAAGAAGGAGAATTAAAAAATCATTCATAGTAACCTAATACTGATGCTGGTTTATATTCTTTGGTTTGTTCTTCCACGAGTGAGTGATGTATGAAGTATTCTTACAACTGTAAACTACTGAAGTTCAACAGTTGACTGATTATTGTTTGATGTTTGTAGCCAAGTTATCCTCGTACATCATGTATTCGGAAGGGTTGGGTGGTACGCCAACTCATTAAATTAGTGATATTTACAGGATTCATGGGATTTATTGTTGAACAGGTGACTTCTGATTTCTTCTTTGACTTGGTTTTTCATATTTTTTGGTAACTTAATTGATATTGTTTGGCCTCATATGCAGTATATAAACCCAATCGTACAGAACTCGCAACATCCTTTGAAAGGAAACCTTTTGTATGCCATCGAGAGGGTCTTGAAGCTATCAGTTCCAAATTTATATGTGTGGCTCTGCATGTTTTATTGTTTTTTCCACCTTTGGTATGTTCTTTCTCTGAAGTTGATGGAAAATAATTGTCATTTCCTTTATTAACTTCTTTGCTCAGTTCCATAAGCATTATAGCACAAGATAATGTATTGATGGAATATTTTTCATTTATGTTTTGCCTGTCCTGTTATTTGGAATTTGTTCATACACTAATTCTACTGGGTATTCTGCAATATCTGCATTGTAGTCTAGATGGTAGGTAGTTTGGTGATTTGGGGACAAGTTCTTACATATTTTGGATTCTGGGAGTTCTTTCAGCTGGCAGTAAAATAGTTTCTGATTCAGGAAAATATAGTGTTCATAATTGGCTGCATCTGGAAAACCAGGTTATGTAATGTGTAGGAGCTTGATAAGTGACGTGAGGTGGATTTTCTTTTTAGGCTTGCTTTCTAGTTTTATCTAACGACATATCTAGAAGTTGGTGAAGCTTGAATACACCTTTTCCATACTTTGATTCTGGGAGTTGCTACAGCTGGCAGTAAAATAGTTTCTGATCTCTAGGAAAATACTTAGTTCATGATTGGCTATATTTCTGGCTGCATCTGTGGTGGCTTGAAACATAATTGGATCACAGAAGGTTGATTTTCATTTCGTATTTTCTTTCTAGTTTTTGTTTAATGACATATATCTAGAACTTGGTACAGAATTTTGAATACACCTTGCCGTTTGCTTTTATAGGGGATGAGCTTGTCAATAGAATAACTTAGTAACGCAGGTTCCTCTTTTATGTTGCAGAAAAATGGGCAGAATGAGATATTTAATTTTGTATATAATGGTAACTATATTTATTGTTGAAGTAAAGCTTGTTTACGATTTGGGGAACTGAGTTTACCACTTGAGCACCTTTTTTTGTTGTAACTGCATTGCTCTCATCATAGTCTCTGTGGTATAGGCTAAACATACTCGCTGAACTTCTACGGTTTGGTGATCGTGAGTTCTATAAGGATTGGTGGAATGCGAGAACAGTTGAGGAGGTATAATATCGTACTCTGATATTTTTCTATTTTTATTTTGTTTTGCTGACATTTTTCTTTTAGAACTGATTTCATGCCTGACTAATTTTCTGTTTTCTTATTATATGCTGATCGGGCGACTGTCACTGTTGTCAGTATTGGAGAATGTGGAATATGGTAAGTTCAATTATATTGACACAAGGGAAGAATCACTTAAGAACTACATTCATGTTTAAATTTTCCTTGGTTGTAATGACAGTTACACCCCCCCCACCCCCCCTCTTTTTCTTTTATCTTTTTCATTTTAACGAATTGGTTAATCTTATTCGTGATAAATACGAATAGGAAGTAGTAGATCCTAATCGAGGAAAGACAGGGAAAAAAGAATAAAATTTGTAACAGGTGTACCTGCTGGGCTTGAGCATTTGTTTGTTGAACAGATTCATGTGAAGACCATAAATCTTGAAACTTGTGGTTAGATCCACTTTATGGAACCAAATCTTTTTTGTTTTTCTTCTTTGGAGCTATAGCTTATAAAAATGAGATCTGCAAATGTAATTTATGACAATAGCATTGACCTGAGACAAGCTGTTCTACGTAGGTGAAAAAGAGGACATATCATAAGAGAGATTCAAATGAACCGCAAATGTTTATCTTGTAGGATGCTTTATTTAATGCCCAATTCCTAAGTCTTAATTTGTTGTATATCAATCTTTTTCCAATTTAACGGTTGTTTTGAAGACTAGAAATTATTTTCTTTTGTCATTGGACTGAATTCATGCTCAAGCTTCTAAAAATTGGGAAGATGGTAGAATATCTTGGATGCTTGGGTTTGTTCTTTTTCTTTCTTTCTTTTTTTT